TGGCATGCAAGAAGAGAAGCTAGCAAGAAGAAAAACCAGAAGAAATTTGAACTTCTCTGTCTACAGTTCAAGGATTCAACCCAACCAAGAAGGAGCAAAAGACTATCAGACTTGAAAGCTAAGTTAACTCATGATAAAAACGTAATCTAAAGCTTTTAGTGTTTTCTTCTTTTTCAAAGAATGAATTTACTTTGCCTTTATGGACTTTAATTTATTGTTCTGATTGGTAAATCTCTTTAGTAAATCTCATTAACACAGTTTTAAGTACTCCATTTAAGTCCCAACTTTAGCTGCCTCAAGACTTTCAAGTCTTATTTCAAGAACGGGTCTTTGATCTACTACTGCCTCAAATTCTTGTGTACTATCAACTCACATGGTTTTTGCAAGGGGCTTTCCTGATATTGTCCATTCAGATTCAATAGATTATTTCATTCAGAGATATACATGTTTGTAACTAAGGGAGCAACGATGTGATTGTATAAGCCTCTCTGGATTTTGAGAACATGAAGGGCACTAGCACCAATGATGTATTCCTTGTCTGTTTCTTCATGGAACTCTCGTCTGAGCAGTATCACAACCATTATTTACTTTCTCTTGTATTTTGTATTTGTCCACTAATGTATGTTTAGATTGCTCTGTAATATATATATATATATATATATATATATATATATATATATATATATATATATATATAAAATTATCACAACTATATATTTAATATTACTCCCACTAGTGTAGTATACTACTCCCTTACAAGTCCTAAGTGTGTGACCCTTTAGGTATCCATAACATTGGCAATGATATTAATAAAATTAATACCGTAGATAATAAGCGGTATCTAGAAACACATTATTATCCCCAGATTATGAAAAAGACGTTCATCTCATCAATACCTTCTACGACACAAGGCGTTCTATAACTATTATCCTTTTGTCCTATATGTCATGATTTAACACAAGGCATGGGATGTGTATCCTTGTATAGTTAAATCAACTGTTACTGAATCTCAAGTAGACTGGCAGGGATCAGATATTTATCAGTCTCTAGATAGCGACATATCTGGGCATGGCCATGCACTTTCCCAAGTCCTACTATTCAGTGGGCCCATTGACATTATACTTCTATACAGTAGAAGGGACAGATCCTGTATCTGTTATTCACATCTCTAAATATGCTTAGCGGCATACCCAACGCATAACTGTACGTCTACCAGTATTTGAGATAGCATTAGTTATGAATCAAAGCATACG